AGCTCAGGATGTGGATGAGTGGATTGTTGAATTCTCCGAGTTAGGCAGTCTGGTTGCAGACATTTCGCTGCCCAACTAGGCTATATCCTCGGTGCGGCTATAGAGATCTGATTGGCAGCGTCTCGTAAGCCACTGCCAGATCCAAGTGGCTATTGATGGTCTCCTGCTTTGAATGTATCTTCGATTGGATCACGTGGGTCGGCTAAGTGGACACGTCTATGCCTATCGATCTGGTACTTACTTTTGACCTCACTCAGCATTCAATCAAATCGGCAAATCAATTTCTTGGAAAACTCAAGAGAATAACGATAGAAAGAGACCAGATGATGGTATCCTTTGATATTATAGCTTTGTTCACATCAATCGATAAGAAGCTGACAACGCAAACAATGATGATTCTACTTGAAAAACACGTGGCAGCCAATTCAAACAACAGAATTGGATTCACCCAAATGATGGATTTGCATGATTTTTGTCTCATCACACACTTCACTTTCAATGGTCAAACGTAAAATAGCTAATGGGCACGCCAATGTGTTCACCAATCTCGGGAGTGGTGGCACTGGAGCAAAAGGTACTACAAATGGTGGAGCCCACACTTTGGGTAGGTTAGGGGGAAGATACTTTTGTCATCCTCAAGCGTTCCAGACTACATGAAACACACCATCTGATCAATAATATTTTCTGCGGCATCCATTTCACCAAAGGGGAGAAGAACAACGACCAGCTGCCATGCTTAGACGTGCTCGTGAAAAGACATGCTTCCGGGCCCTCAGAAGCAACAGTCTATCGAAATGCGATGCATACGGATCAGAGCCTAAAGTGTTGCAGTAACCGTCCAGCCAATTACAAGTGCAGTTGCATGAGGACAATTTTCAAACTGGCCCAAACACAGTGTAGCCTACTTCAGCTGAGGAAAACGAAGGAAGACCACCAGTTTAACACGTTCCAGCGGAATTCGCACCCTAAACGTTTTGTTCTACACTGTCTGAAGTCGAAAAATCAACCACCGCCCGCTTCCGCAAGCGCCACGGTGTCAGCTGGGTGGTTCGGGTTTAACCCGTTCCAGCAAATAGTTCGGCGGCAGTGTTCCAGAATGTGGTGGGTTTTCGCCTGGCAAGCGTTCTCCCTATAAAATGCCACAAATATCTGCTTAACAACACTGTGACGTGGCGGTAGTGACTCGCCACAAAATAAAGTCACTGCCCCGTGGATATCCGGATAATTCTATCCGACCCACGGACACCAATCTCCTACTCGCATATTGATGACGATATCAGACATTGAAGATTGGAGCAGCACAACTACAAGCACAAAATACACAGCTACATACACATACACACACAATGACATACATACGTACCCCCTATGCAAACACAAACTGCTATGGCAAACATATCGGATTTTTGCACATTCTTGATCATGCATCGTTATGTCAAAATGATCATGCCTGTAAAGGAGTGCCTCACCTTGTTGAGAATAAAAGCTTTATTTATTTATTTATTTATGTGCTTGCAGCAATGCTTTCAATGGTTCAGGGGATCAACGTTGCATATGAAGCAATGGAAACCATTCGGAGTAAACTTTTCGGGGCAAATGACCAACTGAGTAGAGAAGAAACATTAGGTGTGGTTAACAAAATGTTTGGCAACAATTGTGACAAGTACTAAGGGGGACAGACAGACAGGAACTTGGCACAAGACTGCATGAACACAGTCTGGCCATCCGCCGCCATGATGAAAAATCACTCATGTCAGTACATATGGATACCGAAGGCCATCAGTTCTATCTGGGGAATGCCAAGATACTTGAGAGAGTAAAGAACCGCAGAACACGTGAGTTCCTCAAGGTCTGGCATTCGGGCCAGATTTCAATCAACAAGCATCTAGAAGTGGAAGGGGTCTACGAAGCTCTGCAGGTGAGGTCGAAAATAATTACCAGCTCCATAGGCATAGACGTGTCCACTTAGCCGCCCCACGTGATCCAATCGGAAATACATTCAAAGCAGGAGACCATCAACAGTCACTTGGATCGGGCAGTGGCTTAGGAGACGCTGCCAATCAGACCTCTATAGCCGTACCGAGGATATAGCCTAGTTGGGAAACGAAACTTCTGCAGCCAGATTGCCTTGCTCGTGGAACAGAACAAGCTGCTCATAATTATTGGGCACGTTACCCTCTGGAAGTTATGTGAATAATGGAATAGTAAGGGATCGGCTGCTTCCGCTGCTGATCGTGTGCACCCACCAGTCGTGACCAGTGCTGGAATTTTGCGCTGCACCTTACGAAGGCCATTAACATGCCTGTACAAGACTTTGCGGTTGATGCAGAATCGCTGCATTGACTCCTGCTAATGTGCCATCTTGTCCAGGCGGATCAAGTTCACAGTGAAGCTACGTTGTGCCACATGTGCAGTCCAGAGTTCGGCATTGGTGCAGTCTTTGTGAGTTAGCCAGGCCAAGTCTCTCAGGGACATAAAGTTACTTGTCCTACATCTTCGAAATGGCTTGCATTTTTCCTGAAGGTGGAATGATTTCTGTTCCGAGGTGAGCACCATCAGTGTGCTAAACGTCCTTGTGTACGTAGCCCAGGCGACTTCTGGGGGTACACAGCAAAGAAGGTTCAAGAAGTATTATTAACAAGAGTGCGTAACACGTTGTAGCACGTAAGAGTACATACTGCATGATCTTCCTCTTAAAGATATTCCTTTTAGCATGGCTAAGAGCCGACCTCAGTGGCGTTCGTGCTGTGAGTTTCTTTGTCCCACCCCATCCCTCTTAGCCTCCCCCTCCAACCACGATGTCATTATTTAGCCTTATATAATTTTGCATAGTAATTTTTTCTTGATGCACAACAGCCGGCTGGTGGCTTACCGGAATGATGCCCATCCGTTACCGGTAGCTCATCCAGCTTGCACCAGTTGAATTTTTTCTCCTTTTATTGCTATATATTGCGGCACAGTAGCTGAGGTCTTTCCCACCTCTAGCTAACGTGTATGATGATGGTGATGATACAGTCAACCAATGGAATAACATAGCCACTGCGACCCAATGCGGTGCTTGTAACTATTCCGTCGATCACAAGTTCTTTGTAGGTGAGCACAAGATCAAGTATTGACAGCCTGTTGGCATTTCGGAATCTGGTGGGAGAGGTGACGTGATTATACAATGGGTAGTTGGAAGTTGACTCGCAAACAGGCTTTAAACTGTGTGCTATCGATTGCCGGTATTTCCAGGCCGTGAACATTAGTGTCGCCGGCGATGAGAATGTGAATACACGACTTCTCATAACAACCTACAACACGTGGTTTAGTTATGAGTCCATTTCAGAAGTATAGTTTGGCAAGCGCTAAATTAAGGTTATATGTGTCCTTTTTCCGCAATTACAGCCGGCACCAGAGCGGATGTAGCGGGCGGATTTCTGGCGAACCAAAACATTTAAATCTTCGGTTAACATTGTGATAAAGAATTACATCACTACCCTTTCCAGTGCGATCGTTCCGAAAGAGCAACATGCCGGGTAACTTTATTTCAGAATCGGATATCTCAAGGTTTAACCGGGAGTCTGTAATCATGTGTTTCCGTGGTTATGAAGCGTGGAGCTCTCTGTGTTTTACCAATTTATGAAAAGAATGCCTTGGGCGTTAGTGTACAAACAGCATATTGTTTTGGATGTTAAGACTGCGTTGTTGGATGTTAAATTCGTGAATGGCTTTAAACCGACCGTTAGGTGGACAGATTCTAATCGTTTTTGGTTGTTGTTGATCTGTGCATGTTGCTCGGGCCGCATGGACTCACAGAGTGTTCCAGATCAGGATATCATCTCTTGCTGCCCTCTGGGCTGTTCCGTGGGAGCTGATGTGTCCGTCTTCCCGCGGAACAAGGGAGACAAGGATTTTAATGCGTGTGGGCAGATTTCTGCGAACTACTGAACAATCGTAAACGTATTCCTGCTGTCTTCAGCCGAATCACGGTTTGAAGCATGCTGTGAAAATCCTACCATTTCTTCAGTAGAACCTGTGTAATTCCATCGACCACAGCGCCAATTTCGTTAATGTTGAGCTAAAACATTCCAGTCACGCGAAAAAAGAATTCTCGTTAATAACTTGGGTAAAACAATGACCAGAGAGACGGTTTCGCAAAAATCGAAAAAGGCAATTCGATCATGAAGTTGCAACCAAATATAGGGAGAATCAGAAAGCTCGCGAGAACCGAAAGCAAATATCGTTTAATTGTGATCACGAGAAGTGTAAAATAATAATCCAGCAAGCACGTGCTTATGCGCAAACACAACAGACACGCACATGCTCTCTCCAGCAGTCACATAAATACACACGCGCAGTCTCGCAGAAACAATTAGGTTCAAGCGCACAAACATCACGGCGCACAGTCTCTCATGCTCTCACGCACACACACACACACACACATCCTGTCTGCACAATAGATCACCATGACAATCATTTACAACATTACATTCGCACAAACCACTCCAGTGCGGATATACGACACTAAGCCCCAATACCTCCATAAACCCCAGTCAATCGAATCGACACATCATCTTGCGCACAGGTGAAGCATATCACCGCATCGGACGCATCACATTGATGATTCATCCACAACTTCCAACTGCACAGTACACCACAAACCGAACATTTAACTCGTGCACACGCATGAATGTACACTCACTCGCACGTGTGCGCGCGCGCGCACACACACACACACATAGAAAAGCAAGTCAGACATGCACAAATGCAGCGTGAGAACATGTGCTTACGCGGAATGATTTCGCAGGTATGGAAGCGAGTGTTTCCAGTGTGCAACTCATATTGGCACACATTTCTCCACACACACATGTAAACCACTACCAACCCACACTACACACAGACTGAACTCCTCTCAACAAGTTAGCATATCCACATCACACACACACACACGCACAGGGATAGAAATGCAATCGCACTATTTTCATAAACCACTCGTGCTCATTCGCCACACACCCACTCACTGCCTGTCCACATTCTTCCCTCTGCAGCACCCAATGCACCCAGCAACATAAGCATCGACACTGACACCGAGCAACCACACGTGATCGTCCACTGGGATCATAACTCCACGTGCACTGCTTCGACATTTCTACTCACCGTATACAACGAACACGGTGAAGCCATTGTCAGTGAGCCCAGCAACAGCACCACATGGCGATGGAGCAATCCCATACAATGCACACCACACTATGTCACCATCACAACCATCAGTGAGACCACCGGCGTGAACGCATCGACAAACTCGCACAAATTCACAAGTAAACCACGTGAGTCCGATTTTCCACAACCCTCCTCATGCATACAACAACAATCCAACATGCACGTACACATGCGCAAACACAACAGACACGCACATGCTCTCTCCAGCAGTCACATAAATACACACGCGCAGTCTCGCAGAAACAATTAGGTTCAAGCGCACAAACATCACGGCGCACAGTCTCTCATGCTCTCACGCACACACACACACACACATCCTGTCTGCACAATAGATCACCATGACAATCATTTACAACATTACATTCGCACAAACCACTCCAGTGCGGATATACGACACTAAGCCCCAATACCTCCATAAACCCCAGTCAATCGAATCGACACATCATCTTGCGCACAGGTGAAGCATATCACCGCATCGGACGCATCACATTGATGATTCATCCACAACTTCCAACTGCACAATACACCACAAACCGAACATTTAACTCGTGCACACGCATGAATGTACACTCACTCGCACGTGTGCGCGCGCGCACACACACACACACATAGAAAAGCAAGTCAGACATGCACAAATGCAGCGTGAGAACATGTGCTTACGCGGAATGATTTCGCAGGTATGGAAGCGAGTGTTTCCAGTGTGCAACTCATATTGGCACACATTTCTCCACACACACATGTAAACCACTACCAACCCACACTACACACAGACTGAACTCCTCTCAACAAGTTAGCATATCCACATCACACACACACACACACACGCACAGGGATAGAAATGCAATCGCACTATTTTCATAAACCACTCGTGCTCATTCGCCACACACCCACTCACTGCCTGTCCACATTCTTCCCTCTGCAGCACCCAATGCACCCAGCAACATAAGCATCGACACTGACACCGAGCAACCACACGTGATCGTCCACTGGGATCATAACTCCACGTGCACTGCTTCGACATTTCTACTCACCGTATACAACGAACACGGTGAAGCCATTGTCAGTGAGCCCAGCAACAGCACCACATGGCGATGGAGCAATCCCATACAATGCACACCACACTATGTCACCATCACAACCATCAGTGAGACCACCGGCGTGAACGCATCGACAAACTCGCACAAATTCACAAGTAAACCACGTGAGTCCGATTTTCCACAACCCTCCTCATGCATACAACAACAATCCAACATGCACGTACACATGCGCAAACACAACAGACACGCACATGCTCTCTCCAGCAGTCACATAAATACACACGCGCAGTCTCGCAGAAACAATTAGGTTCAAGCGCACAAACATCACGGCGCACTGTCTCTCATGCTCTCTCAAACACACACACATCCTGTCTACACGATAGATCACTGTTGTATACGTAAGGTCAAAACGTACGATCAAGTTAAATGG